GTTTTTTATATTTAAAGAATTTGCCACTGACGATTCAAATGTGAGTTTTGAGCAGTGTAGAGTTGGGCTTGTTGTTTGTCATTTCTCTGATCACAAATGCAGACATGGTTTTATGTTTACTCGGCGCGATGCAACGCAACGTGTAACAAGACAGTATAAGTCATTATAATCAGTAATTATGTCCCCACTGGATGCAACGAATGCCTCGTTTTATAATGGATTTTAATGTTTTTGTCTCGTCGCTCCGGCCTGACAGGGCATCACAGTATGGTAAGGGGCGTAACATTTTCGTCACACACTTGAGGTATTCGGCCAATCACAATGCACTGGATAGCTGGCCAATCAGAGCACACCTCGCTTTTCAGACCGATGAGCTTTGTAAAAATCAACACGTTTCAGAAAGGCGGGGCATAGAGGAACAATAATGTACAGTATGTGGAAAATAATGTTTTTTTTAACCTTAAACCGCATAAACACATTGCATTACACCAAATAATGTTCTTTTTAGCAGCATCATATGACCCCTTTAAGGAGGAAATTAGAAAAGGACATAAGAGCAGGTAAAATTATGTGTAAAATGAAAAGAGACACAGTTACTTCATATAAGTGCACTTTTTACGAGAATACAATGAGGTAACAGTAAAACCAGCATTGATAAGAGAAGACACACTGATGCCACAGCGTTATCATGTTGCCATGGGAGAATTAGACCAGTGGAGAACCATAAATTCCTTCATGATCCTAAAACAAATCACAACAAGGGGCTCAGAGACTACCATCATTATTTCTCTGTGCACACCAGAGACAAACACTCATTAGAAACTGCTTGGAACAAATGCAAAGCATTTAAAGTGCAATGCACATAAAGGGTATATATATATATATATATATATATATATATATATATATATATATATATCTTTTAAATAAACTATGTTATCTAAAATACATGAAAAACAGCAATAATGTGAAATATAACTAATTTAAAAAAAGCTTTTCTGTTTTAATATATTTTAAAATGTAATTTGGCACTCAAGTAACAAGAGACGACTTTTCTCTCCAGGATTCTTTTATGAATAGGAAGTTCAATAGAAGAGCATTTATTTGAAATATCATTTTGTAACAATAAATTTTGACACATTTGATCAAATTAATCTTCGCTGAACAAAAGTATTACATTCTTACAAAAAAAATAATAAATCTTACTGACCCCAAACTTTTGAACCATAGTATACATATAAACTTTAGTTTATTTAAAGGCTTTTCCCCCATACACATCAAACTGAAAACTGGTATGACTCTGTGCTTATTTTCCCAAATGACTGGCGATTGTTCCATAGGATTCCAATGGCAGAGTCAGCCAGCTGAAATGTTAATACACAAATAGTTGTACAGACACCACTGAACACTTGTCAGACTTTGTCTGTTATCTCTCTGTCTACCATCATCGGGTTTCATTTATTGTCCCAGGGGTGGGGTACAAAATTCTCTGCATCATTTTGGAATGTTGACATAGAAATGGAATTAATGAGAGCTCCATGAACCTAAAAATGACAGAAAAACATTGTTTCTACTCAAAACAATGGATGGAATTAAACTATTGATGCTAGGCAATCAAATCAGTGCCTAAATATTAGTGCTCAGTTAATCTAATCAAACATGGTGTGAAAGAGGATCCCTACCAATGCACAAGTGTGCGTATGCATCTGTTTTGAGTCTGAAATAGGCTCCTCTTCTAACCACAAAGTTTTTAGGGTGACAGAGTCAGAGGTTAGAGGTCAGGGTCTGGGTATAGGACAAGACAAGGCCCTGCATGGAAGAAAATAGATCCTAGCTGCATCTGTTCAAAAAGCTTACCCAAGAGCCATTAAGCAAATGTCACATAGGGAGGGAGGCCCCTATAAAACCACCAGGCATCCACGGAGAACATCTCAGTCCATTCAGGATCTTTGCCGCCGACTGTACAGTCCTTCCTCAGTGACCCCCTCTTCCCAAAGCACTCATAAGTAGCACCATGTGTGACACAGAGGAGTTTGTGGAGGAGTTTGAGGAGGAACAGGAGGAGGTGAACGAAGAGGAGGTTGAAGAAGAAACCGAGGAGAAAGAGGAAGAGAAAGAAGATGATGAACAAGAGGCAGAGGAAAACACCAAACCCAAGCCCAAGATGTTTATTCCCAACATTATACCACCAAAGCTGCCAGATGGAGAGAAAGTGGACTTTGATGACCTCCACCGGAAGCGTGTGGAGAAAGACTTCAATGAATTGCAGAGTCTCATTCAGCTGCACTTTTCCACCAGGCAGAAGGAAGAGGATGAGCTTGTGTCTTTGAAGAACCGCATTGAGCGCCGTCGGGGCGATCGTACAGAGCAGCAACGCATCAGAGCAGAGCGTGATCGTGAGAGGCAGGCGCGCCTTGCTGTGGAAAGAACACGGCGTGAAGAGGAGTCAGCCAAACTGCGTGCCGAGGAGGATGCCAGGAAAAAGAAGATCCTTTCCAACAAGGGCTACGGTGGCTACCTGCAGAAGGTGGATCAGAAGAAGGGCAAGAGGTTGACAGAACGTGAGAAGAAGACCAAATGTCTGATGGAGCGTCGCAAGCCGCTCAACATCGATCATCTCAACCAGGAGAAGCTGGGAGAGAAAGCCCTTGACCTTTGGAAGTGGCTCACTCAACTCCACGCTGAGAAATTTGATCTGGCAGAGAAGCTAAAGAGGCAGAAGTACGACATCAACGTTCTGCGGAACCGTGTTAGTGACCATCAAAGAGGAGCTAAGACAACCAAGACCACCAGGAAGTCCTGGAAATAAATTAACTGGACTGACATATTGCAATGACACACAAAACAGTTTGTTGGAATCACAGTTTCAAGTCCCGCATTGAACTTTTTAAGACATCATCATTTCTATTTTTATTTTTTGATTAACTAAAATTACACTTTATTCATTTAGCATTGTATCATACATGTAATGGGATTTAGTGTTAATGTTTTGTTTCATGTATTCTTAAGTAATCTGAAAATCTCATGCTATAAACCTTTTAAAAGTTAAATTTTTTCTTTGCGCACAACATTTCATAATATGCAGTAGAAATGCAAATCAAAATGTTTTTTGATAACCCGTGTTATCAAATACAAATATATGGTCATTTATTTTTGTAAAACATGCACATGCATCGTAACTTGAGAGGCACAAGGACTGCTTTTTTACAATTACTAATTGACAATCTACAAAAGCTCTTGCAGAAATTACAAATAAGAAATCATTTTAAATGTGGAATTAAGTGCTGGAATACAAGCTATTAATAAACAAATACATCAAGATGTCATATAAACGGAAAAGGTCTTTATTGTAACAAACATAAGGCACATATTTTACTGTAACAGCAATGTTTTAGTACATACTTCAAAGTATCCATTTTTTAGGCTACAGAGTTTCAAGGACGGATAAGTAGCAAAAGTGTAAGTGATATTCTTCATCTACAAAGACCCCTTTTCCACATTCCACTCCATCTAGTGCAGTTGAGCGCCCAAGCCATTCAAAAAGTACACTCCATTGTCAATAAGTTTGGATGGCTCAAGTCTCAAAAAATTAAATACAAATAAGTGTTTCATTTCTGATTTGTAACTCTCTTGCTCGATAAACAAAAAAGCATATGATTTCTAAAAGCTTGCAGCAGTTATATTGGGCCTATGCAAAACTTCTATGCATAAATCACTGTTAGCATTGCGTTTAAAAAACATAGTAAAAATGTCTATATTCTTTGCAATTAACATTAGTGCATCTAATGCAAAACAGCTGTTTATAGAGCTTATAGGCTAAACACACATTTCTATGCCATTTAAAGATCACACCACTATCAGGGCCTGAGTGCAAACAGATGGTTTTGCACATAACTATAATTAAGCAGAATTTTATAGCAGTACAAACTAGATTCCTTATAAAAATTGGACGGATCATTTGTAATCTAACAAAAAATATTGGTCGCATATATATTTCACACTAACAGTTCAAGATTAAAGATTTAAGAAGCTGTATTACTGATTATTTGGATAATCAAGCCCACTTTATCTAAGTTAGCCTCTTTTTTCCAAATCTACCAGGTATGACCTTGCTGTAAGATTTAGAAATCCCGGTTGTTGCTGCTGATCATTTTGGGGTATGAAGTCCCAATGGAGCGCCCGAATCTGTACACCACAATCTCAAGCAGGTACTCATCCACCTTCACTGTAACATTGGTCACACGCCCATCAGACAGAAGGAAGACGATAGTAAAGAGAGCCACCTCAAACTCTGGGCTGACGCCAATGAAACAACTGCCCACCGGCTTGACCAGGCCATTCCAGCTGAACTGCAGGTTCAAGACGTGATCGTCTTCGTCTGGCTGTGAAATTGAACCAAATGTAAATGTTGGAAGTATTGCACACAAAGCTATATTAAATTGGTTTTATAATTTTTCCCTTATCAAATCAAATGATGAAATACCGTGTCCTTGTTATTTCTGGCCTTGTATCCTTTGTAGTCCACATGATTGTGTTTCTCCTGATGGTAAAACTGGACCCAGTTGTGGAGGCCCATGATCTCTTTACCATGTTTGGTTTCACCAACAAACACATGCTCAAATCCACATGAATCTTCACTGCATTAGAGACAAGAGGGAGATGGTAGATCAATTAAAATGACTTTATGTATAAATGCTGGGCACGTAAATTACCATTAGCACATAAGCACAATCTTGTATCTTAGTTACTAATCTAACAAACCCAGTTCAAATTAGAGGTTTGAAATACAGTGATATATGCTAGCCCGTTCAAAAGAGGATTATAACTCACCCTCCACTTTTGTCTCTGCGATAGAGCTTAAACCAGATATCATAGAGCTGGCTCTTAAACTGAGCTGGATCCGACTGGGCTAGACCTTTGCATACTAAATACCTGTGGGCACACTGCAAAGACAAAACCTGTCAGAACAGGACTGAAAGAATATAATAATTTTTGCATGTATTTGCAGAATGTCGTCTTTACACTTTATTGTAACAGTCAAGCTAAAAGATACCTTTGCATACTAAATACCTGTGGGCACACTGCAAAGACAAAACCTGTCAGAACAGGACTGAAAGAATATAATATTTTTCTTCACTTGTACCGTTTTTGCATGTATTTGCAGAATGTCGTCTTTACACTTTATTGTAACAGTCAAGCTAAAAGATCATTTGCACATTTGTCTCACATGACCATATTCACTATCCACTTCCCATCCAACACATTAAACCAAACCATAACTATGTCTTTACTGTTTTTTTGCAATCAATATTTTTTGTAATAAGTATTTTTTTTCTCCCAAAAATACTGCAAGGACAGGCAGTGCGCTACAAAACAAGATACACCAGGGCACATTTTGTAAGTTACTAAATAATAAAATAAATAAATAAATGTCACGTTTTGTAAGCAAATAAATAAATATAAAAAAGTGTTTTAATAAGTGTTTACTTTAATATAAATACTCATAAAATATTAAATATTAATTAAAACATCCACGCTACTGGAAAATGTTTAGTAGTTTTACCATTAGTTACTTTGCAACTCTGGTCAGGAATGACCTCTATCAATCAGGCAACAGTCAATAGCATGCATACTTCAAATACTTTTAAGTTGCTAAATTTCTACATGTTCAAACATGCCATTACTAAATAGCAAGGCAAAAACAGTGATCAGTGAGCGATAAGATACCTTCATGACCTCTGTCTTCAGAACGGCATCCAGGAAAAGATGGTTTTCCTGAAGCTCCTCGTGTGTCACATGCTCAGTCACTCCTGTAGACATCTCATAATTGTCCAGCAGATTTATAAAGTCTGAGAAGAGACAGTGAATAAAACAGCTGTCTAAACGATTTTGCCATGCACTGCATCAGATCGAAAAGATCAGTGACTAATGAAAACTGAAAACATATTAGTATAGAAAATGGCGCTTAGCTTCTTACGGGCATAAGTATCGATGCTTTTGAGCTTGTTTTCATTGACATAGGCGAAGAGAGGAGCTCTAGCACTGTCCCTGGCATTGTTACTGCCCTCAGCTACAAAGCCAGCCTTCCCCTGTGTGAAAAAAAAATGCACTATAAATGACTGATTGATAAAGTCACCTGCAATCACGTATGTGGAATATTATGATGTATTTACTTAAATTAATATGTAATCTTCATAAACATGGCTCCTCCTCTTCTGAATCAGCTACTGTTTTGTTATTAGTTAAAGTATTTGCTATTGACTGTTCAAATGCGAGTTTTGTGCATCGTGTTTGTGTGTGTGTGAGCAAGAGAGAGACAGGGTCACATCACAGTGGAGTCAGCTGTCTTAACCGTGGCTTGTGTACTGCAAACACATACCAGCTTCATCACTGTGTCTGTCACGAGACTCTGTTCCCCTTTCGGACTTGAACTGATGGTGAAACTAATGACATTATTTACTGTCTTTACATTTATGTTGAAAGCTGAAGCTCGTGATTATGGTAAGGGGCGTTACATTTCCGACGAGTGCTTGCGGTGTTCGGCCAATCACAATGCACTGGGTCAGCTGGCCAATCAGAGCAGACTGCGCTTGTCGGAAGGAGGGACTTTGTAGAAAACGAAGCGTTTGAGAGAGGCGGGGCATAGAGGACCTACAATAATGTACAGTATTTGAAAAATGATGTGTTTTTTGAACATTAAAGCATGTCAACATATTCTGTTACACCAAATACGCAAAATAATGATCTTTTAAAAAAGCATCATATGACCCCTTTAAGCATTTTTTTTTCAATCTTTAGACAGTGATACCACCTAGACCTTTTTTCTCTAAGTCCCACAAAACATATCTAAAATGTATTTTAATTCAAACACTGAAAACTTCACAGAAGAGGTGTATTCAAGTTAACGTCTGTATGAACTGTACGCATTAATATGACTTATAGAATTCATTAGGGAGTTTTCAACTTGCTTATCAACAGGTGTAACTTCAAATGCAGTGTAATAAACACCGCCACTTTATATGAAAGATACCTGACGTCATGTGCGGCTTCTATTCTCTCGAAACCGGAAATTCTAATCTCAGGTAACCTGACGCGAGTCCACCTGTGCTTTTAATTCACAGCAAGCAGCATTTGGATTGCGCACGACATTAAAACGGAACGGGAAACTCAGAAGATTACAGATGTAAAGTAAAACGTTGAGACACACAGCTCATATCCATGTGAGTCACCCTAACATGAAAACACACAACACAACAACTGGTTGTCAGGTTCAGTTCCGTTCACGGAAAACAATCATGAAGATGTTATGGAGTTACAGCAGCAGTTCCTCGCATCTGGAAACAGTTGAATAGAGGCCCTTTGTAAATGTGGCATCGCCTCCACTTCAAACAAAACTCGCTTGTACAGCTAAAACAACAACTTTCAGCACGGCAAAAAAAATATGTATGAAAAATATACACGAAGCCTCGTATCGTTGTGCATATCCGTTTATTAACCTTCTAGCAGTTTATATTAATACGCACCGGATGTTGCGCTTGAAAACTAAAATAAACACATTGTATCTTGACTCGATCACATTTACAGCATAGTTCGGCAAAAGGATAGTCATTATGATTTTAAAAACACAATGAATGCCCCTATGTAATAACACAACTTTTTGAGGCGGCTGATCTAAAGCACAAAACGGAAAGACCGTTAAACATCTGTTGCCACTCATTTTCTCACCCTCTGGCCATATTCGCAGGTTAATCCACTTTGTGGTTCAAAGAAACACGTTTCGCCACTCGAGCGATGAAAAGCTGGCTTGTTTCCAGGGTGTGTTTACCCTATGTCAAACATTTTGATCGATAGACGAATCTGACCAATGAAAGTGGCGCACGGTTACTGCATCTCGTCTCGGATTGGTTGTTTTCCTTAGAGGGCGAGACATATTAACCAATAGCAGCGTGGAAGAAAACAACCTGAAATCCAGGAACTTGGGAGTGTGCGTTAGGGCCAGTGTTGCCAATTTAGCAATTTTGTTGCTAAATTTAGCAACTTTTTCTTCCAAAAGCACCTAGCAACAAATTTAGCCATTTAAAAAAATATTTGGCAACTTTTGATAACTTTTCACAATAAAAAGGCACACATTTTCCATCCAGATTACACAAAAAGAGGAAACCAAAGATGCCTAGCAGAGGCATCACGTGAATTAAGTTAGCTGTTATTTGCAATTATTCCATTTAATAATAATAATAATAATTGAATAATTGTTCATTTATGAAACACTTTGTTAGTAGCTTGTACCTGTGATTGTTGTTCAGTTACACTGTAAGAAAAATGAAAAAGATACTAGTAATTTTCCAGGACATTATCCATTATTCACTGTAACCCGAAAACACAATGCATAATTTAAAATGTAGGTAAAAAAACCAATTCGGAAAATTATTTCATATTAACATAGACATAACATTGTGCCCTATTTTTACAGACTTTTCTTAGAGTGTAGCATACTAACTAACTACTAATACACTGCTTAAAGCATAATTGTTGAGAATGTGTAGTATTACTACTAGTTATTAAAAAAACTTAAATTGTAATCATTTAAAAATGTGTAAGTGTTCAATAATTCAATGTATTGAAAAATACAGTTATTTATATTTTATTATATTATGCATATTATTTTACAAACACGTTTAAATGAACATATATCAAATATATTTTTTTGCTGAGATTTGATGTTGTGACACAATTTTGCATCGTGATTACGCAATTACATCATAACGTCATTTAGCCACTTTTAGCAACAAACCGACCTTCCTTTAGCAACTTTTTCTGAAAATTAGTTGGCAACAATGGTTAGGTCGCAGTCTGGCTGTAAACATGTGGTAAAAAAGTGACACAAATCTCAGCCAGAAATGGTCCATTTTGTAATATTTATTTGCACAAAAAAATAAAGATTTGATAAAATAAAACATTTCCTCCCAGTCCTGCAGCAGAGTGGGGATTGCATTTATTCAGTACTCTTAAACTGGAATCAAAGTTGACCATCCAAATTACACAAAAAGAGGAAACCAAAGATGCCTAGCAGAGGCATCACGTGAATTAAGTTAGCTGTTATTTGCAATTATTCTATTTAATAATAATTGAATAATTGTTCATTTATGATTCACTTTGTTAGTAGCTTGTACCTGTGATTGTTGTTCAGTTACACTGTAAGAAAAATGAAAAAGATACTAGTAATTTTCCAGGACATTATCCATTATTCACTGTAACCCGAGAACACAATGCATAATTTAAAATGTAGGTAAAAAAACCAATTCGGAAAATTATTTCATATTAACATAGTAGATTGTGCCCTATTTTTACAGACTTTTCTTAGAGTGTAGCATACTAACTAACTACTAATACACTGCTTAAAGCATAATTGTTGAGAATGTGTAGTATTACTACTAGTTATTAAAAAAACTTAAATTGTAATCATTTAAAAATGTGTAAGTGTTCAATAATTCAATGTATTGAAAAATACAGTTATTTATATTTTATTATATTATGCATATTATTTTACAAACACGTTTAAATGAACATATATCAAATATTTTTTTTTGCTGAGATTTGATGTTGTGACACAATTTTGCATCGTGATTACGCAATTACATCATAACGTCATTTAGCCACTTTTAGCAACAAACCGACCTTCCTTTAGCAACTTTTTCTGAAAATTAGTTGGCAACAATGGTTAGGTCGCAGTCTGGCTGTAAACATGTGGTAAAAAAGTGACACAAATCTCAGCCAGAAATGGTCCATTTTGTAATATTTATTTGCACAAAAAAATAAAGATTTGATAAAATAAAACATTTCCTCCCAGTCCTGCAGCAGAGTGGGGATTGCATTTATTCAGTACTCTTAAACTGGAATCAAAGTTGACTGGAATAATTTGGGTAGGCCGTTGTCATTTTTTAAGGGATAGTTCACAAAAAAAAACATTCTGTCATTTACACAACCTTATGTGGTTCCAATTCTAGTCTTCTTTTTATCTTCAGAACACAAAATTAAGATTTAACCATATAAGATGCGCTCTATGTATGTGCATTGATTAATATTTATGTGAATATAAGCCTAAATAAATCTGTTAATCATTTGTATCTCTTCAGAAGCCTTGTATTAAACCTCTCAATTCATTTTTTTCGCTTACTTTGTGAAATTTTTAAAGCTTAATTTTGTTTTAGTGAATGGACAAAACAAATGAGAGAATATTCATATAATATCTTATATCTTAATATCACCATTTGTGTTTGGAGTCATAACATGAGCAAGTCTTATGAGTTTGGATGAATAAATGATGACATAATTTTTGGATGAACTGTCTCCAAGGGAAACCAGAGCTGTTCTTATGCTGCGTTCAAGTCCTCCAGGGACATTCGTACTTACGAGTTGACAAGTCGTAATTACGACGTCAGGTTCGTTCAAGTCAGTTTAGTCGGCACAAGATGGTGGTGTACCTTCTTTTAATAAATTACAAGAAAATACAACAGGGTCTGCATTTTTTTACTTGGATTTCAGCTGCGTAACAAGAACATGACCAATTTAAGTTTATAGGACAACTAAACTATCAATTTAAACAAAAATGTACCGTCAACTACAGACGCATCCATCGATTCCTCCATGTTTTTCATTGACACGTCCCCAACTCGGAAACTCGGGGCTTAAAGAAATTTTAGAGTTTCCCACTCGTAATAACGACTTTGTGGTGGCGTTCATGAGCGTTCAACTCGTAAATACGATCTATCCGACATGACTTGAACGCACCATTATTATCAACCTCCACACGTGTGCTTTGATAACCAATCACATTATAGCCTTTGACGACACTGAATTTCATTCAATCCTTCGCTGTTGCAAATTTATTTTCTGAATGTCCATGTTCATCTTTAAAAAATAAAATAAATAAATAAATATAAATAAACAACAACAAAAACCTGTTGCTAACTGCCATGACTTTTCTTACAAAACAGCATTTTTTTTGTTGTAAACTCCAAAAAAAGCTTCAAACCAAATGTAATGTTTCAAGAAAACATGATGAAGATTAGGTAATAAGCTGTTTCCTCACAAAAGCAGTTTATTCAACGTACTAAAGCCTCTTCGAGGCTCATTCAATTCAATTCAAGTTTATTTGTATAGTGCTTTTCACAATACAAATCGTTGGAAAGCAACTTTACAGCAAATCAAGTTTCTACAATATTTAGTGGTAGCTTATCAGTGATGACTGTCAGTTAATGTACATATGGCAGAAATGCACGGAAAAATCAATTAAAGACGTAATCAAACAGACGATGAACACTATTAACAGCAATTATTATATGATGCAATCAAACTTATAGCAAAGTTTGGTAGTTCTGTATGTTGTTTCAGGGTTGATATCATCGGAGGTCCTCTGAGGGGTTGGCAGAGTGTTCAACACTCTCAGGTGTTCTGGATCCAGACTGAAGCTTGTGTAAATCCTAGTTAAGGCAAAAACAGAGAAACACATAGAGACATAATTAGCGTAGCTGCTGTTCCAACCAAGCAAAACTGATTTGTTTAACCCAAGCTAAAGAATAATAATGTGCATTTGATCCGATATAACTGCAGTACAAGATTATGAGATGCATTATTTGAATGCTTGGCCAAAGAGATGTGTCTTTAATCTAGATTTAAACAGAGAGAGTGTGTCTGAACCCCGAACATTATCAGGAAAGCTATTCCAGAGTTTGTGCTATATCTCCTTTAGTGGACTTTGCTATCAGTACTACCAAAAGTCCGGAGTTTTGCGACCTTGGGGAGCGTGATGGATTGTAGCGTGGTAGAAGACTAGTTAGGTATGCAGGAGCTAACCCATTAAGGGCCTTATAGGCAAGTAATAATATTTTTTAACTAATACGGTACTTAATAGGTAGCCAGTGCAGAGACTGTAAAATTGGGGTAATACGATCATCTTAATGGGTTTCTGAGGAAACACACGGACATGAATATAAACTCACCTTGAAGGATGTAATTAGATGCTCTTCTTTCAATGATAACA